CGGTCACTCACCCGGTCACTCACCCGGTCACTCACCCGGTCACTCACCCGGTCCACTACCGGCACTCACCGGCCACTCACCCGGCCATCACCCAGCCACTCACCCAACCACTCACCCAGCCAATCTCACCAGCCACTCACCCAGCACTCACCCAGCCACTCACCCAGCCACCTCACCCGGCCCCGCCTCACCGGTCGCCTTTCACCCGGTCACTCACCACTGTCACTCATCCCGGCCATCTCACCCCGGCCACCACCCGGCCACTCACCCAACCGCTCACCCAGCCGCTCACCCAGCCGCTCACCCAGCCGCTCACCCAGCCGCTCACCCAGCCGCTCACCCAGCCACTCACCCAGCCACTCACCCAGCCACTCACCCAGCCAATCACCCAGCCACTCACCCAGCCGCTCACCCAGCCACTCACTCAGACACTCACCGGTCCTTGGCCTCCCCTAGGTCGACTCAGCCACAAGTGAGTGCCTGGGTGTGGAGTGTAAACATCTCCCCGAGTGAGACAAAGGCGGCCGGGCGTGGCACAGTTCATCCCATGCCCTCGTGTGCCGTTCCAGCCTTCATGGGTGCCCCTCGCTAACAGCACTTGTCCCCACAGCCTCTTGAGGCTATACGGGGCAGCTTTGTATTGGTAGTGATAATGTTGTTGTTGGTGATGGTGGTGATGATGATGGTGGTTACGATGATGGTGGTGATGGAGATGATGATGGTGACGATGGTGATGTTTGTGATGTTGGTGATGGTGACGATGTTAACGATGTTGACGACGACGATGATGGTAGTGGTGATGGTGGTGACGATGATAGTGGTGACGGTGGTGACGGTGGTGATGTTTGTGATGTTGGTGATGTTGGTGATGGTGACGATGTTAACGATGTTGACGACGACGACGACGACGATGGTGGTGGTGATGGTGGTGATGGTGGTGACGGTGATGATGTTGGTGATGGTGACGATGTTGACGACGACGGTGATGGTGCTGATGGTAGTGATGGTGGTGGTGATGGTGGTGATGGTGGTGGTGATGTGTGGTGATGGGTGGTAATGACGATGATGGTGGTGGTGATGGTGGCGATGTGTAGTGACGATGGCAAGGACGGGTTGAAGTTCTACACGGACCCCTCCTACTTCTTCGACCTCTGGAAGGAGAAGATGCTGCAGGACACGGAGGACAAACGCAAGGAGAAGAGACGGCAGAAGGTCCATCAGCACCATCACCACCATCGCCAACATCACCAACATCACCACCATCAGCACCATCACCATCAACATCACCAACACCATCACCAACATCATCAACATCAGCACCATCAACACCATCAACACCATCATCAACATCACCAACATCATCAGCACCATCAACATCACCAACATCATCATCAACATCAGCACCATCAACACCATCAGCACCATCAACACCATCACCAACATCACCAACATCAACATTATCACCAACATCATCACCATCAGCACCATCACCATCAACATCACCAACATCATCACCAACATCATCACCAACATCATCACCAACATCATCAACATCAGCACCATCAATACCATCACCACCATCACCAACATCAACATTATCACCAACATCACCACCATCACCACCATCAGCACCAACATCACCACCATCAGCACCAACATCACCAACATCACCAACATCATCAACATCACCAACATCATCAACATCACCACCATCAGCACCATCACCACCATCAGCACCATCACCACCATCACCACCATCACCAACATCGCCACCATCACCACCATCACCACCATCACCAACATCAGCACCATCACCACCACACACACAGAGCGCTCGCCACGAGATGAATCACGACACCTCGTTGATCTTGTCACGGCGCACAAATCACCGTGACGCAAGCCCCCCCGGTCCAGTCATCCTAGCAGCAGCATCAGCAGCAGCATCAGCAGCAGCATCAGCAGCGGCGGCGGCTTCTGGATGACCATCGTCTGTGGCGGTCACCGCCCTTTCAGACGCGCTGTCTGGGACAGCTCTCTTCCTTCTGATGTTGGAGCTAAATTGAAAACTCATTTGTCTTTAGAAGTGCTCCATGCACGCGTCATTGGCAAACTTGAAAGTCTTCAGCGTATCCTCCTGAGCACCATTATCATCGCCATCGCCACCAGCACCGCTGATATCACCATCACTGATATCACCACCACTGCCATTACCGTCACCAACATCACCATGACTAGCATCACCACTAACACCACCACTACTCCACTACCACCACACCACTAACACCACCACCACTACCACCACACCACTAACACCACCATCACACCACTAACACCACTAGCACCACCACCACTAACATCACCACTAACACCACCAGCATCACCACTACACCACCACCACTACCACCACTACTAACACCACTAGCACCACCACCACTACCACCACTAACACCACCATCACACCACTAACGCCACTACCACCACACCACTTACACCACCACTAACACCACCACCACCACTCCACTAACGTGCGTGTGCTACACACCACTAACACCACCAGCACAACCACTACCACCACACCACTAACACCACCACTAACACCACCACTCACACCACCACACCACACCACTAACACCACCACCACCACACCACCACCACTAACACCACCACCACACCACCACCACTAACACCACCACCACTACCACCACTACACCACTAACACTACCACCACTACCACCACCACTACTACCACCACACCACCACTAACACCACCACCACTACCACCACACCACCACCACCACCACTACACCACTAACACCACTACCACCACCATTAACGTGTGTGCGCTACACACCACCACCCCCCCCCCCCACCTTACCCGTCACTGTAGAAGCGTCCTGAGGAGCGCAGCGTGGTTTCGGCGGTTCGGGCCCCCCGCGACCGCCGCAAAGAGTGGGAGCTCCTGGCCAAGGGGAAGGAGTTTGCCGTGGAGGGGGGGGGCGCCGGCGGGGGGGGGGGGCTCCCCCCCCTGGCCCCCTCGTGGGGGAGAGGTGGAGCCAGCCATTTCCGCAGATCGGGCTCGCACACGTCCGAGACTAGGTCACTGCCCATAGCTGCGTGGGGGGGGCGATGGGGGGGGGGCGTGGGGGGGCAGAGAGAGAGGGTGTGAATGTGCGTGCGTGTGTGTGGCGTAACAACGCGTGTGCGTGTGTTAGATGGTAGGCCCGTTTGTGTTCTCTGGCGTGTGCCTTGCGTACGTGTGCCTTGCGTACGTGTGCAACGTGTAGAATAGAGAGAGGAAGTTGATCTAGGCAGAGACTCGTAGACTCGCATAGAAACCCATAGACTCGCGCAGAGACCCATAGACTCATGCAGAGACCCATAGACTCACGCAGAGACCCATAGACTCACACAGAGACCCATAGACTCATGCAGAGACCCATAGACTCACGCAGAGACCCATAGACTCACGCAGAGACCCATAGACTCACACAGAGACCCATAGACTCACGCAGAGACCCATAAACTGGCGGAGATACACAGACTCGCACAGAGACCCATAGACTCGCACAGAGACCCATAGACTCACACAGAGACCCATAGACTCGCACGGAGACCCATAGACTCGCGCGGAGACCCATAGACTCGCACGGAGACCCATAGACTCGCACGGAGACCCATAGACTCACGCAGAGACCCATAGACTCACGCAGAGACCCATAGACTCACACAGAGACCCATAGACTCGCGCAGAGACCCATAGACTCACACAGAGACCCATAGACTCACACAGAGACCCATAGACTCACACAGAGACCCATAGACTCGCACGGAGACCCATAGACTCACGCAGAGACCCATAGACTCACACAGAGACCCATAGACTCACGCAGAGACCCATAGACTCACACAGAGACCCATAGACTCACGCAGAGACCCATAGACTCGCGCGGAGACCCATAGACTCACGCAGAGACCCATAGACTCACGCAGAGACCCATAGACTCACGCAGAGACCCATAGACTCACGCAGAGACCCATAGACTCATGCAGAGACCCATAGACTCATGCAGAGACCCATAGACTCATGCAGAGACCCATAGACTCACACAGAGACCCATAGACTCACGCAGAGACCCATAGACTCAGACAGAGACCCATAGACTCACGCAGAGACCCATAAACTAGCGGAGATACACAGACTCGCACAGAGACCCATAGACTCGCACGGAGACCCATAGACTCACGCAGAGACCCATAGACTCGCATGGAGACCCATAGACTCGCACGGAGACCCATAGACTCACGCAGAGACCCATAGACTCACGCAGAGACCCATAGACTCGCACAGACCCAAAGACTCACACAGAGACCCATAGACTCACGCAGAGACCCACAGACTCACGCAGAGACCCGTAGACTCACACAGAGACCCATAGACTCAGGCAGAGACCCACAGACTCACGCAGAGACCCATAGACTCACGCAGAGACCCATAGACTCACGCAGAGACCCATAAACTAGCGGAGATACACAGACTCGCACAGAGACCCATAGACTCACACAGAGACCCATAGACTCGCACGGAGACCCATAGACTCACGCAGAGACCCACAGACTCACGCAGAGACCCATAGACTCACGCAGAGACCCATAGACTCACGCAGAGACCCATAGACTCACACAGAGACCCATAGACTCACACAGAGACCCATAGACTCATACAGAGACCAGTAGAATAAGATTCAAAGATTCGGTTAGACACACATACTCGCGTTGAGAAACCCGTGCATGTGCGTACAAAATCCAACGTGGGTTTCCGTAGAGGCTCAACGTGCCCCCCCCCCCCCCCATCTCGTGGCGACACGCAGTCAAACTCTGGGGCAGTTCTTCACCTCTTGTGACCACCCCCCACCCACCCCTCCTCACGGCATCTCCGGTTACCAGGGTTGGCTACACCAGCGCCTCTAAAGATGTTCAACGTAGATCCTTGCCCACAGACATCCTGGCGCTCCTACCGACCGATGTCTTGCACCCCCGCGGCATCATCTATATACCCCCCATCCCCCTTCTCCACAGGCCTGTGTACAGGTGCTGCTGCTGGTGGTGGTGCTGGTGGTGGTGCTGGTGGTGGTGCTGGTGCTGAATCCTAACCTCTCTCTCTGTCTCTCTGTCTGTCTGTCTGACCAACCCTGGCGAATTCGTTCCTTGATTTCTGGCCGTGGCACCAATCCGGTTGTTGCGTGAACCAGGCCTCGCCCGCGCCGTGACAGCGTCTTGGGCGGCCTCTGGGATGCGACGAACTTTTAAATCTCGGTTGAAAACTCGCCTTGCTTGGAACTGCTTGTTTGTTGAGTTGAACACGTAGCAGGCTAAATTTCGATGTAAAGCTTTCGTGACTGCAGGGATTCATCTTCTTGGTTCTTTTGGTAAAGTCACCACGTAGAAGAGAAGTAATAAAATAATGAAAATAATAAAATAATTCTCACGACGTTTCGGCCACAACGCAAGCAGCCGTCCTCAGGTGGAGAACAGGTCTGTCGGGAAGACAGCGTCTGAATGGGTCTGAATGAGACTCTGTCTCCCCGACAGACCTGGTCTTCACCTGAGGACGGCTGCTTGCGTTGTGGCCGAAACGTCGTGAGAATTATTTTATTATGTTTTATTTTCATTATTTTATTACTTCCCTTCTACGTGGTGACTTTACCGATAGAACCAAGAAGGCGTTGCAGACTTTCGCCAAACAGAACCGTTAGATCGCGTAAAGTCACGTAGAAGGGAAATAATAAAATTATAAATATAAAACATAATAAAATAATTCTCACGACGTTTCGGCCACAACGCAAGCAGCCGTCCTCAGGTGTGAAAACCACAGCAAGAAAATTTGAAGAAAATTTCTCGCCGTGATTTTCACACCTGATGATGAAAATTTGAAGAAAATTTCTTGCCGCGGTTTTCACACCTGATGATGAAAATTCGAAGAAAATTTCTTGCCGTGGTTTTCACACCTGATGATGAAAATTCGAAGAAAATTTCTTGCCGTGGTTTTCACACCTGATGATGAAAATTCGAAGAAAATTTCTTGCCGTGGTTTTCACACCTGATGATGAAAATTCGAAGAAAATTTCTTGCCGCGGTTTTCACACCTGATGATGAAAATTCGAAGAAAATTTCTTGCCGTGATTTTCACACCTGATGATGAAAATTCGAAGAAAATTTCTTGCCGCGGTTTTCACACCTGATGATGAAAATTCGAAGAAAATTTCTTGCCGTGATTTTCGCACCTGATGATGAAAATTCGAAGAAAATTTCTTGCCGTGGTTTTCACACCTGGTGATGAAAATTCGAAGAAAATTTCTTGCCGTGGTTTTCACACCTGATGATGAAAATTCGAAGAAAATTTCTTGCCGTGGTTTTCACACCTGATGATGAAAATTCGAAGAAAATTTCTTGCCGTGATTTTCACACCTGATGATGAAAATTCGAAGAAAATTTCTTGCCGTGATTTTCACACCTGATGATGAAAATTCGAAGAAAATTTCTTGCCGTGGTTTTCAGCACCTGATGATGAAAATTCGAAGAAAATTTCTTGCCGCGGTTTTCAGCACCTGATGATGAAAATTCGAAGAAAATTTCTTGCCGTGATTTTCACACCTGATGATGAAAATTCGAAGAAAATTTCTTGCCGTGGTTTTCAGCACCTGATGATGAAAATTCGAAGAAAATTTCTTGCCGTGGTTTTCAGCACCTGATGATGAAAATTCGAAGAAAATTTCTTGCCGTGATTTTCACACCTGATGATGAAAATTCGAAGAAAATTTCTTGCCGTGATTTTCAGCACCTGATGATGAAAATTCGAAGAAAATTTCTTGCCGTGGTTTTCACACCCTGATGATGAAAATTCGAAGAAAATTTCTTGCCGTGATTTTCACACCTGATGATGAAAATTCGAAGAAAATTTCTTGCCCGTGGTTTTCGCACCTGATGATGAAAATTCGAAGAAAATTTCTTGCCAGTGGTTTTCGCACCTGATGATGAAAATTCGAAGAAAATTTCTTGCCGTGGTTTTCACACCTGATGATGAAAATTCGAAGAAAATTTCTTGCCGTGGTTTTCGCACCTGATGATGAAAATTCGAAGAAAATTTCTCGCCGTGGTTTTCGCACCTGATGATGAAAATTCGAAGAAATTTTCTTGCCGTGGTTTTCGCACCTGATGATGAAAATTCGAAGAAAATTTCTTGCCGTGGTTTTCACACCTGATGATGAAAATTCGAAGAAAATTTCTTGCCGTGGTTTTCACACCTGATGATGAAAATTCGAAGAAAATTTCTTGCCGTGGTTTTCACACCTGATGATGAAAATTCGAAGAAAATTTCTTGCCGTGATTTTCACACCTGATGATGAAAATTCGAAGAAAATTTCTTGCCGTGGTTTTCGCACCTGATGATGAAAATTCGAAGAAAATTTCTTGCCGTGGTTTTCGCACCTGATGATGAAAATTCGAAGAAAATTTCTTGCCGTGGTTTTCGCACCTGATGATGAAAATTCGAAGAAAATTTCTTGCCGTGGTTTTCGCACCTGATGATGAAAATTCGAAGAAAATTTCTCGCCGTGGTTTTCACACCTGATGATGAAAATTCGAAGAAAATTTCTCTGCCGTGGTTTCGCACCTGATGATGAAAATTCGAAGAAAATTTCTCGCCGTGGTTTTCGCACCTGATGATGAAAATTCGAAGAAAATTTCTCGCCGTGGTTTTCGCACCTGATGATGAAAATTCGAAGAAAATTTCTCGCCGTGGTTTTCGCACCTGATGATGAAAATTCGAAGAAAATTTCTCGCCGTGGTTTTCGCACCTGATGATGACGATTGCTGCTTGTGTTGCAGTCGAAACGTCGTGAGAAATTTTATTGTTTAATATTTTTACTATTTTATTCTTTCCCTTCTACGTGTACGCAGCCAACCACAACAATCTAAACGCACCAAGCAGTTCTAACCGAATGAGTTAATCAACCGCGACGATTTAAAAGTGCCATCCTCATAACGGTTGGGGGTGGCGGTCCACGCCCCAAGCGGATTTGCCGACGTGCGGTCCTGGTTTGCGTTGGTGGTGGTGTTCGTTCGATTGATTCTGGTGGTGTGTGGTTCTAATGAGGTGGGTGCTGGTGGCGGTGTCTGTCACTCTGTCGTCTCTCTGTCTCTCCCCCTCCTCCTCCTCATCATCGTGCCCCTACCGCTTTATCGCTGGCCGCTCGCTTTGCACGCTCGTGTGTGGTGGGTCCATCGCAAAAACCTTCGCCTGATCTTAACCCTCCTCCCTACCTACCTCATCGCGTCGGCTTCGATCCCCACGAACCCTCCGCCTTGGGCTTTTATCTCTGAACCTTTAAACGCTGAAACCTCGACTAACAACAACAAAAAACAACGCTGAGACCGTTTTTCAAAATGCTGAACCCCGCGAACTCTGAACTCCAAACCTCTTAACCCCTGCCGTGTGACCTCTAACCTCTGACCTCTCCGCACCCACCCCCCCCCCCCCCCACATCTCACGCGACCGCCTTAACGGAACGACGCTAACCAACAACCGCTACTCCCCCGCTTGGCTGCCCCCCGCCCCCCCCAAACAACAACTACTACTACTACACAATGGGGGGCCCCCCCACCCCCACCCTACCCTACCCCTTGCCCCCCCCCCTCCCCAATTGCAGAAAGACCGTGCGAAAGTGGGGGGCAACCGAGACATTCGTAATGTGCGCAAGGCCAAAAACCGCCGCCAGGACTGGGAGCGCCTCAAAATGGGAAAGGAGTTCATAGCGGACAGCAAACTGCTGCTGCTGCAGCAGCAGGGGTCTGTGGGGGGGGGGGGGAGTATGAGAGAGTGGGGGGGGGAGTGGGGGGGTGAGAGAGTGGGGGGGGGACTGAGAGTGGGGGGGGGGGGAGTGTGGCGGGAGTGTGAGAGTGGGGGGAGTGGGGGGGGGTATGTGAGAGAGTGGGGGGGGAGTGAGGGGGGGGGAGTGTGAGAGAGTGGGGGGGTGGTGAGAGAGTGTGAGAGAGTGGGGGGGTGGTGAGAGAGTGGGGGGGAGTGTGAGAGAGTGGGGGGGTGGTGAGAGAGTGTGAGAGAGTGGGGGGTGGTGAGAGAGAGTGGGGGGGTGGTGAGAGAGTGGGGGGGAGTATGAGAGAGTGGGGGGGGGAGTGGGGGGGTGAGAGAGTGGGGGGGTGGTGAGAGAGTGGGGGGGGTGAGAGAGAATGTTGTAAGCCCCATGTGTGTGTACACTGTGTAGTAGTGTTGTAAGCACTGTGTGTGTGTGTACACTGTGTGTGTGTACACTGTGTGTGTGTGTGTACACTGTGTGTGTGTGTGTACACTGTGTGTGTGTGTGCACACTGTGTGTGTGTGTGCACACTGTGTGTGTGTGTGCACACTGTGTGTGTGTGTGCACACTGTGTGTGTGTGTACACTGTGTGTGTGTGTACACTGTGTGTGTGTGTACACTGTGTGTGTGTGTACACTGTGTGTGTACACTGTGTGTGTACGCTGTGTGTAGTAGTGTTGTAAGCACTGTGTGTGTGTGTACACTGTGTGTGTGTACACTGTGTGTGTGTGTGTACACTGTGTGTGTGTGTGCACACTGTGTGTGTGTGTACACTGTGTGTGTGTGTACACTGTGTGTGTGTGTACACTGTGTGTGTGTACACTGTGTGTGTGTACACTGTGTGTAGTAGTGTTGTAAGCACTGTGTGTGTGCACTGTGTGTGTGTGTGTACACTGTGTGTGTGTGTACACTGTGTGTGTGTGTGTACACTGTGTGTGTGTGTGTACACTGTGTGTGTGTACACTGTGTGTAGTAGTGTTGTAAGCACTGTGTGTGTGTGTACACTGTGTGTGTGTGTGTGTACACTGTGTGTAGTAGTGTTGTAAGCACTGTGTGTGTGTACACTGTGTGTGTGTGTACACTGTGTGTAGTAGTATTGTAAGCACTGTGTGTGTGTATACTGTGTAGTTTTATTGTAAGCACTGTGTGTGTACACTGTGTGTACATTGTGTGTGTGTGTGTACACTGTGTGTACATTGTGTGTGTGTACACTGTGTACATTGTGTGTGTGTGTACATTGTGTGTGTGTAGTAGTATTGTGTACACTGTGTGTGTTTGTACACTGTGTGTGTACACTGTGTATGTGTGTGCATTGTGTGTGTGTGTATACACTGTGTGTGTGTATACACTGTGTGTAGTAGTATTGTGTACACTGTGTGTGTGTACACTGTGTGTACACTGTGTGTGTGTGCACTGTGTGTGTGTACACTGTGTGTGTAGTAGTAGTATTGTGTACACTGTGTGTGTGTTTGTGTACACTGTGTGTGTGTGTACACTGTGTGTGTAGTAGTATTGTGTACACTGTGTGTGCACTCTGTCTGTGTGTACACTGTGTGTGTGTATACACTGTGTGTAGTAGTATTGTGTACACTGTGTGTGTGCACTCTGTGTGTACACTGTGTGTGTATACACTGTGTGTGTGTATACACTGTGTATGTAGTAGTATTGTGTACACTGTGTGTGTGTGAACAGCTCTGGGACCAGTGAGCCAACGACTTCTCCCGTACCTCCATCCATGGCACCGCCCCCTCCGCCCCTGGACGGCCAATCGGCTTACAGCTCGCCCGGGTATGGGCACGGCCAGGCCTTCAACGGGGACCTGCCGCCTCCACCCCCAGCCGATTATAGGTAACGTGTGTGTGTGTCTGTGTGTGTCTGTGTGTACACTCAGCCTTAAATGAGTACCTGGTGCGGTGTGTAAACATCGCCACTAGGGAGACAAAGGCGGTCGGGCGTGGTGCTGGCCACCCACCCCCTCGTGTGCCGTTCCGGCCTTCATAGGTGCTCGCTAACAGCACTTGCCTCTACAGTCTGTTCAGGCTATACGGGGAATCTTTGTCTTTTGTGTCTGTCTGTGTGTGTGTGTCTGTGTGTGTGTGTCTGTATCATCTTCGCCGGTTGGAAACATTTAGGCTGGCCTGCCTACAATCCATCCTGGGTTTAACCTGCAGGCTGGATTGTGTGAGGAGCTCACAAATCCTTTAAAGATCTGGACAAAGTCCCATTGGTGAACTTCTCCGGTAGGCAAGGTTGCGTTGGCTGGGTCGTTTAGCCCGCATGCCCAGCCACCGCATGCCTAAACAGCTTTTGTTGCTGCTGTTGCTGCCGCTGCTGTTGCTGCTGCTGCTGTTGTTGCTGCCGCTGCTGTTGCTGCTGCTGCTGTTGTTGCTGCCGCTGCTGTTGCTGCTGCTGCTGTCAACCACCAGCCGACGTCTCCGTTGACCTCACACCCGTCTCCTCCCCACCTCCCTCCCTCCCCCACAGCACGGCAGACTCCCACCCCAGCCCTCTGCACCCTCCAACCTCCTCCCCCTTCCCACCCTCCGTCCCTCCGCCCCCTCCGCCCATGTCCTGGAGCTCTCCCGGCGGCGGAGCGGGAGGGGGAGGGGCCCAGGCGACCCCCCCTCCCCCGCCCCCGCCCCCTCCCCCGCCCCCACCCCCCGGACCCTTCGGACACCCGGCGGGTGTCGTCGCCGCGGGGTCCACGCCGCCATCGGGGGGGGTCTTCGGCGCCCCCGCCGGAGGCCCCGTCGGCGGGGGCCACTCGCTGCTGTTGCCGCCGGCGCCACCGCCACCGCCGCCACCGCTGCCTCCGCCTCTCCCGGTGGGTGGTGGTGGCGGCTACGGTGGTTTTGGTGGTTTTGGCGGCGGTGGTGCCGCACCGCCACCGCCGCCGCCACCGCCGCCGCCGCCGATGATGACGGCCATGGACGGGGGCTACGGCAGCCGCATGGCGGCGGCGGCGGCGCCTCCGGCCGCTCCGCCGTTGCCGCCGGTGACGTGCGGCACGGGGGTTGCGGTGGAGGGAGCGGCAAGCGAGGAGGGCAGTGCACGCAGCGACCTGCTGGACGCCATCAGACGCGGTAACGCCGCCACTACTACTACCGCTACCGCCACCCACTACCACTACCGCTACCACCCACTACCACCACTACCCACTACCACTACTGCCACTACCCACTACCGCTACCACCCACTACCACCACTACCCACTACTACTACCGCTACCGCCACCCACTACCACTACCGCCACCACCCACTACCACCACTACCCACTACCACTACTGCCACTACCCACTACCACTACCCACTACCACTACACCCACTACCCACTACCACTACTGCCACTACCCACTACCACTACCCACCAGCACTACCACCACTACCCACTACCACTACACCCACTACCCACTACCACTACCCACTACCACCACTACCCACTACCACTACACCCACTACCCACTACCACTACCACCACTACCCACTACCACTACACCCACTACCCACTACCACCACTACCCACTACACCCACTACCCACTACCACTACCACCACTCCCACCACTACCACCCACCCACCCACTACACCCACCACTATCGCTACCGCCACCCACCACCACCACCCACCCACTACCACCGCCACCACCCACCCACCACCACCCACCCACCCACCAGCACCACCACCCACCCACCTCCACCTGCTGTAGGAGGGAGTGAGATGGAGCAGATGGAGATTAGTCCACACACACACAGTTTCCAAATCTACAGCAGCAGGCATCGTCAGGGTCGGGATCGAACCCACGACCTCCTGCGTACCAGGCGAGGTAGTTAACATCTCCTAGCCACCCTGATGATGATGATGATGATGAGAGAGACGCAAACTCCAAATCTAAAGCAGCAGGCATCGTCAGGGTCGGGATCGAACCCACGACCTCCTGCACACCAGGCGAGGTAGTCAACATCTCCTAGCCACTGTGATGATGATGAGAGAGAGAGATGCAAACTCCAAATCTACAGCAGCAGGCATCGTCAGGGTTGGGATTGAACCCACGACCTCCTGCGAGGTAGTTAACATCTCCTAGAACGACTGCGCGTGTCCCCCTGTCCGCTGCCCCCTCGCTCGCTCACGCCTGCCCTGCCCTGCTGCCCCCCCCACCCCCCCCACCCCCCCACCCCCCCAGGCATCCAGCTGAAGAAGGGTCAGGACAAAGCGGACCAGGACGCCAAGCGGCAGGCCGCGGGGAACGACGTCGCCGCCATCCTGTCGCGGCGCGTCGCTGTCGAGTACAGCGACTCGGACTCGGACACGTCGGAGTTCGGCGACGGAGACTGGTCCGACTGAGACGAGCGGAGAGAGGGGGGCACGTGTGGGGTGAGACACGTGTGGGGTGAGACACGTGTGGGGTGAGACACGTGTGGGGTGAGACACGTGTGGGGTGAGACACGTGTGGGGTGAGACACGTGTGGGGTGAGACACGTGTGGGGTGAGAGACACGTGTGGGGTGAGAGACACGTGGTTAGAGGGACACGGGGAGAGAGACACGGGGAGAGAGTTCGGGGAGAGACACGGGGAGAGACACGGAGAGAGAGACACGGGGAGAGATACGGGGTAGAGAGACACGGGTAGAGGGACACGGGGAGAGGGACACTGAGAGAGAGACACGGGGAGAGAGACACGGGGAGAGGGACACGGAGAGAGACACGGGGAGAGAGACACGGGGAGGGAGACACGGGTGGAGAGACGCGGGTGGAGGGACGCGGGGAGAGAGACACGGGGAGAGGGACACGGGGAGAGAGACACGGGGAGGGAGACACGGGGAGAGGGACATGGGGAGAGACACGGAGAGCGACACGGTGACAGAGACACGGGGAGAGAGTTCGGGGAGAGACGCGGGTAGAGAGACGTGGGTAGAGAGACCGGAGAGACACGGGGAGAGAGTTCGGGGAGAGACACGGGGAGAGAGACACGGGGAGAGAGAGAGACACGGGGTGAGAGGGACACGGAGAGAAAGACACGGGGAGAGAGAGACACGGGGATAGAGACACGGAGAGAGAGACACGGAGAGAGAGACACGGGGAGAGGGACACGGGTGGAGAGATACGGGGAGAGAGACACGGGGAGAGAGAGAGACACGGGGTGAGAGGGACACGGAGAGAAAGACACGGGGAGAGAGAGACACGGGGATAGAGACACGGAGAGAGAGACACGGAGAGAGAGACACGGGGAGAGGGACACGGGTGGAGAGATACGGGGAGAGAGACACGGGGGGTGGGTGGGGGTGGGGAGATGTACACGGGGTCACATGACTCTTCTAAACTAATTGCACGCTTGGTCGACCCAAACGGTCACTCCGTTTGATTGGCCCTGGGGAGGTTTCGCGTGACGTAATGCAAGCGTTTGATTGGCCCTGGGGAGGTTTCGCGTGACGTAATGCAAGCGTTTGATTGGCCCTGGGGAAGGTTTCCGTGTGACGTAATGCAAGCGTTTGATTGGCCCTGGGGAAGGTTTCGCGTGACGTAATGCAAGCATTTGATTGGCCCTGGGGATGTTTCGCGTGACGTAATGCAAGCGTTTGATTGGCCCTGGGGAGGTTTCGCGTGACGTTATGCAAGCGTTTGATTGGCCCTGGGGAAGGTTTCCGCGTGACGTAATGCAAGCGTTTGATTGGCCCTGGGGAAGGTTTCCACGTGACGTAATGCAAGCGTTTGATTGGCCCTGGGGAAGGTTTCGCGTGACGTAATGCAAGCGTTTGATTGGCCCTGGGGATGGTTCCGCGTGACGTAATGCAAGCGTTTGATTGGTCCTGGGGATGGTTCCGCGTGATGTAATGCAAGCGTTTGATTGGTCCTGGGGATGGTTTCGCGTGACGTAATGCAAGCGTTTGATTGGTCCTGGGGATGGTTTCGCGTGACGTAATGCAAGCGTTTGATTGGCCCTGGGGATGGTTTCGCGTGACGTAATGCAAGCGTTTGATTGGCACTGGGGATGGTTTCGCGTGACGTAATGCAAGCGTTTGATTGGTCCTGGGGATGGTTTCGCGTGACGTAATGCAAGCGTTTGATTGGCCCTGGGGAGGTTTCCACGTGACGTAATGCAAGCGTTTGATTGGCCCTGGGGATGGTTTCGCGTGACGTAATGCAAGCGTTTGATTGGCCCTGGGGAGGTTTCCACGTGACGTAATGCAAGTGTTTGATTGGCCGTCGTGCTGTTCAACCGCAAAGCTTTTTGTGGGGTGGAGAAATTTTAGTTTTTTTTTAAACTCAGTTACCGATTTAATTGTATTATCTGTTTCTAATCCTCGCATGTTTAATGGAAAGTTCAACATATATACGCGTAAACGATGTATTTCCTCTAGAAAAAAAAAATTGCTTTGATACTCGATTTAAAATTATACTCCTTCGTTCGGCGCCCTATAACCAGATGTAGTGACGGATAATCATAAGCCATTTGTGCCTCCTAGTAGCAACGCCAGTGTCTTATTGCAATGTCTGCGGTATATGGGCGATCTTCCCTTGGAATAGCCCTGTCGCCCCAAAGCAAAGACAGAGATCCCCCGTGTAGCCTTAACAGACTGTAGGGGCAAGTGCTGTTAGCGAGCACCTATGAAGGCCGGCACGGCACACGAGGGGGTGGGTGGCCAGCACCACGCCCGGCCGCCTTTGTCTCCCCAGTGGCGATGTTTTTAGCCACCGCACCAGGTGACTCATTCGAGGCCGAGTCGACCTAGGGGAGGCCCAGGACCGGTTCAGATAATCGCCGTTCGATGGTGTTGGCCGTGAGCGGGAATCGAACCCGGGTGGTCGGGTTCGTAGCGATAACCGCCGCACCACAGCCAGAGGTCACAACCGGGTACCCGATACCCGTACCCTACCCGATACCCGGCTACCCGTACCCGGCCGGGTACGGGTAGCCGTTTGCGACCCTGGTGCGGCCGGGTACGGGTAGGCCGTGGGTCACTGGTGAGTCACCGTTTGTCACTCATTTCCCAACGTCTTGTCTCTTCTCACAATTCAAGTTCCTAGAATCAACCCACCCGCGCCTGCAACATGGCTTCATCCCAGAGGTCGCAATCGGGTACCTGATACCCGTACCCAGCCGGGTACGGCCGGGTACGGGTACCCGTTTGCGACCCTGGTGCGGCCGGGTCCGGGTAAGGAATCAAAACCCGTTTGCGACCTCTGACCACCGCTCTACCAAAACACACGCTGACAGACACACACCCCCTTCCCGTTTTCCCTCCGCGTCGATGACGATGTCCAGGCTTCTTCGCCTTCAACGATGGTCGCGTCTGCGTTCCCGGCGAGGGGAAAAAACAACACCGCGTGCTGATTATAAACGGTATCTTCTTGGTTCTTTCGGTAAAGTCACCACGTAGAAGGGAAGTAATAACATAATAAAAATAAAACACGATAAAATAATTCTCACGACGTTTCGGACACAACGCAAGCAGCCGTCCTCAGGTGAAGACCAGGTCTGTCGAGGCGACAGCGTCTGTGTTGTGGCCGAAACGTCGTGAGAATTATTTTATTATGTTTTATTTTTATTATTTTATTACTTCCCTTCTACGTGACTTTACCGAAAAACCAAAGAGTATGAATCCCTGCAGTCACGAAAACTTCAGATCTACATCTTCTTGGTTCTTTTGGTAAAGTCACCACGTAGAAGGGAAGTAATAAAATGGTAAAAATAAAACATAATAAAATAATTCTCACGACGTTTCGGCCACAACGCAAGCAGCCGTCCTCAGGTGAAGATCAGGTCTGTCGGGGAGACAGCGTCTGAATGTCTCCCCGACAGATCTGGTCTTCACCTGAGGACGGCTGCTTGCGTTGTGGCCGAAACGTCGTGAGATAGATTTTATTGTTTTATTTTTTTGTTTAATTTTTATTATTTTATTATGTTTTATTTTTATTATTTTAATATGTTTTATTTTTATTATTTTATTGTTTTATTTTTATTATTTTAATAAGTTTTTTTTATTTTATTGTTTTTTTTATTTCCCTTCTACGTGATGACTTTACCGAAAGAACCAAGAAGATGAATCCCTGCAGTCACGAAAGCTTTAAATCGAATTATAAATGGTATATCAATGTGTTGTGTTGGGTGGGGGCGGGGTTAATCACAGTCCGAGATAGCACGCCAGGTGATGCGTAAGCAGGCCCCAACGGAGGCTGGGGCGCGTAGGCAACATCGAGAAGCATCCAGCAGCATCCCAGTTCCTTGTGCGGCGATGATGACGACGACGCAGCCGTGCGACAGCCGATCGCTGCTCGCGCGACGTAGCCCTGCTCGCTCAATCGCTCGCTCGACCACTCGTTCGCTCGACCGATCGCTCGCTCGACCGATCGCTCGACCGATCGCTCGATTGATCGATCGCTCGCTCGACCGATCGCTCGCTCGACCGACCGATCGCTCGACTGATCGCTCTCTCGCTCGCTCGACCGATGGCTCGTTCGACCGATCACTCGATTGATCGATCGCGTTGCAAACCATATTAGTTTCCGTGTCGTGAGAAAAAAGCGTTCCCAGAACGCTTTGGTCGCTCCACATCCAATGGGCGTTGCGAAAACGACGCGTTGGCGTTTTGTGGCTTTGTTGAGTTGCATTGATGTTGCATTTGTACTGCCTCGTTTGTGCTGCTTGGTATTGTCTGTCTCGTTTGTATTCTGTCTCGTTTGTATGATCTGTCTCGTTTGTATTCTCTCGTTTGTATTATTCGTTTGTATTATCTCGTTTGTATTCTCTGTCTCGTTTGTATGATCTCGTTTGTATTATTCGTTTGTATTATCTGTGTGGTTTGTATTCTGTCTCATTTGTATTATCTCGTTTGTATTATCTGTCTCGTTTGTATTCTCTGTTGGTTTGTATTCTCTCGTTTGTATTATCTCGTTTGTATGATCTATCTCTCTCGTCCATATTGTTGATCTCGTCGTGTGTCGTCTGCCCTGTTCGAATTGTCCGCTGTGTTCACATCGCCCGTCTCGTTCCGTCTCGTCCTTACCGCCGACCGCCCCGTCTCAGTATCCAAACATCGCGACGTGCGCATTGATCCGCGCCAAACCGCTGACCGGGTGATTTTATTTCCCCCGCCGGCTATCGAAGCCGCCGCTCCTGCGAGAAACCGATCGACGGCACAAACTTCCGCGTTTTTTTTTTTGCGAAACATTTTTTGTTGTGAAACTTTTTTTGTTGTGAAACATTTTTTTTTGTTAAACATTTTTTTGTGAAACATTTTTTTTTTGTGAAACTTTTTTTGTGAAACATTTTTTTTCTGTGAAACTTTTTTTTTGTGAAACATTTTTTTTGTGAAACATTTTTTTTTGTGAAACATGTTTTTTCTGTGAAACATTTTT